CTCAGCCAGTTCTTCAGCTATTCCACATTAAGGTAATGCTACCATAATTCAGTTTGTCAGACTATGGGTCAATAAAGATAAATCTATTTGAATATACTGTCACTGTTCACCTGTAGGCGGCATTTAGAAGAAGCAAGGTGTTCTTCACTGTAATCCAAATTATGCTTCTTTTTTTTCCCACTGTTGACCTTTTTAACTGATCGTTGGCACACTGATGAAACCGAACAGAAAGTACAGTGGTTCCAATTATTTTCAAAACAAACAACTATTAAATCCTCCGAATTACTATTATGCTGCTGGCTTTTAGAGACGAGCACAATATAAAATGCATATTCCCTCACAAAGCTCTGTCACTGCCCGGACAAGCAACCCTATCACACAATTGATAGGTAGTAGGTACCCAGTTCCCTCACTAAGCATTATGACTCACAGCGGCGCGTAGAGCTGCTATCCCACTCTAATCCACAAGAGATAATTTGGTATTCATGTTTTACAAATGTGCTTGAGAAAAATCCCTAAATCTTTTTGGCAAGTGCAGTCGAGAAAGTCGCGCAAGCATGTCATCCGCCGTGAAAAGGCAGCGGGACGGAGGAAAGTGGGGCTTTGTCTCCTGACTTCAGCCTGCCAGACACGGCCCATCATCAGCTTTCATTGTAGCAGACTTTGTCTTTCCAGTGGTTGGTTTTCTCAAAAGGTAAACAGAGGCTTGACTCAGTGGGGCACCTGCAGTTTCCCTTCCAACAGGTAATATATTTGCACGTCAGGTCTGCTCGTCACAGTTTAAACAGGCTATTTTGTGTGGGATGATTTATGGGTGCGATGTTGCGCTAGGTGCACTTGGCTGTGAGGTGCTGAGGGTTCGATGGCTCCGAGGGGGTAGAAGGTGGGTGTCAGGTTTGACTTACAGGAAGACTGATCTGTAGCAGCTCCGAGGGTGCCCACTGCAACACACTCCTCTGTCATTAATCACTCACAGACTCAGAGCGCGGAGAGCTTTGTCTTCTCCCTGCTCTTCCCACGAGCGCTACACACTGTCACCATCCTGAGAAAAAAAGCTTCAGAACAACTATCAAGGAGTAAGAGAAACCGCTAGTGGCTTTCTGAAACTACAGGGCGTGTATGTATTCCCACGGAGAAGTTGCAACACAAAGGAGGACGCCCCACTCATAGTGTCTGCAGTCAAGAGAGGAAAAAGAAAAAGCTAAAACAGATCCTAATCCTACACTAGGACAAGTGGCACAAGTATGCTTTGGTCTTTATCTAGACATTGTCTTACTGTAGTGCCAATGTTTGCCTTTTGCTCTTCCCAACCCTTCCTTCATAGGTTATCTTGATATACAGGATCAAGATCATTCACCACCCTTACTAAGTAACGGCTGAGTCAGCAAGCAGCACAGCTAAAAGCATGTTGATTTATAATCCAGAAAGAACGGCTGACCGTTGATGCCCCGCTTCCTACTGATCCCACACACTGCTTCCGGTCTGAAGTAATTCACCGAAGCGGTAGTATTACATTAGATAGTATGCAACTGTGATAGGGGGACTCATACCTAGCGAACCTCCAGAAAATAAAATGATGGACTCCTGGTTGTTTGCCATCACTTCATCATTTCATCCTATAAGTTATTCGTGTTTTGTTAAACCCTGCAATGGTGAAGTGCAGCCCTTTCAAACAGTCAACTCTGTCTTTGTCTCTCCGGGATACTCAGATTGTTGCCTTGAATCAAAAGTCTATCAAGTCCTTGTCTAACGCAAAAAAACATTCCTAGTTTTCATGGAGTTAGTAGGAAGTGGTAGCGATATGTGGCAGGAAGTAAAGACATAAAAGAGATAAAACTGTTACTGGGTACAGTGATGCCAATAAAGTCCTGATAAAATAAATACTTTAGTTAAGCATCAAAGAACAACCTACAAATTATCTGGTACACTCTGATCCCAAGCATCTTGAACCCTTTTTTTTCTCTGCCTTCCAGTGTATCCTCTGCTCCCTGAATCTGTGACATTTGTACTTCAAAATATAATATATTTTCCTCACACTGAAATATGAGCTCAAATATGCGTTTCTGCACTAGTCATCTCATAAACAGTTCATTTCTAAATGTAAAACTAGGAGGTCAGGAAAGGGAATAACGATCTGTCAAAACAGCGCTCAGGTCCACAAAGCGGGCTTTCAGTGTGGAGGGGCCGGTATGAAAAGTATATAATTGCGCGCAATGTTTAACATTTATTACATTCAGTACACCATTGCGGTTTGTTTGTCGTAACACACCGGGCAAACAGAGTTAATGTGTGCCTTAGCAAATATTTGCAGCACTAAATCAAATTTAGCTGCCAAATTAGGATATCAGAGAGGCCAAACAGGGTCGTGTTTGAAATAACAGAGTTGATGGGGCATCCGCTGCTCCGCACACAGATTGCCCTATCACACGAGTTGTTGAAGTGTTTGCACACAGAGCTTTGCCGCCTGCAGGCTTACATATCACACTGTGCCTTATTAAGAGTTTTAACAAAATCTGGCTTTCACCACCCCCACCCCACCTCCCCCCCAAACTCAGCCACCAGTCCGAGGGCAGCCGTCTTCTTCAGGACCTCGGTTTGTACGCAGCCCCGAATAAACGGCGAGTCTTCTAAACGGTTTGGGGCCAGTGTGCGTGTGCTCGACAGATAAAAGGCGGCAATGCAGATGTTATTGCGCCGCTGAATAACTCATGGCAGAAACGGTCTGAAGTGATATGTTTTTTTCCCTTGAACTGGTGTAGGAGATCAGACACACTCAGCTTTATTGGATGTCATGCCCTGACGTGATTCGATTTTATCTTTCAACATATTGCACTACCCATTTGGATGTGCACCACAAAATCCCATTATTCCAGTACAATTCAGATAGCGACTTGTATTCAAAAAGTTTTTTTCCCCCTAGAAAAATGTCATTTACAACCATGTATTATATGGTACAGCTGGCAGACAGACAAGGCATTTATTTTCATGCTTAAGTAACGAGCGGCGGTCGAGTGAACCAATGACCCATGAATTGATAATCTCCAGCTGCACGTTGACCCGCTAAAATGACTTCAGCGAAATCCTATTCTGGGTGTAGCCCACAACTCCTGTCCTATTCCTTCAGTCACCAAAATAGAGGAATCCATTTTCTTATAGCACGCTGGGAATTCCCCCCTTGCATTTCTGCCGCAGCTCTTGACCTCCCACTCTCCATTGTATGTGCGAGGAGAGAGAGAGAAGGTCCGGGGCCACAGTAGCCCGCGCAGCGCTGCACCCGGCTGACAGATCGCCTCGCCGTGCCCTCGCCTGCTCCGTCTGCACTGCGGCTCCATTGTTCCGCCCTCTCAGGCCGAGCCGCGTGGCAACTCCACACCATTGTGCCTGACAGACCTGCAACCTGATATGGTGGCAGCAGGCGCCGCCGCCCGACTCCCCCCGTCCCTCTGGGATGCTCAGTGTACATGGGTGTGTGCGACTCAGGATTTACTCAGAAAACACTTGTGGTTATAAACATAACCACAAGAAAAGTGTAAATAACGTCAACAACTTAATCACATCGAGGGGCTTTTAGCAATCAGAACCATGCAGGTGGTTCACTGTGGCTTTATTCAAACCTGGGACTCCAGTACAGCAGGACGTATGTGTAAAAAGGCCCGACCCTCCCATTTAGCAGCAAGCTACACTCTCGCAGTCACATCTTCAATGCAACAAGCGGAAGACTGACATCTTATCTCACCTCCACAGAGAAATGGAAAAAAAAAATCCTGAGCCTGAAGAAGCCAAAAGCACAGACACAACACAACAGCACAATGTACATCAAAGCAAGCCCCAACCAAGCTGAGCATGCCGGTTGTGTGTCGCTAAGGAATACTCCTCTTTTTATGTAACACACAGATGATTAAAGAGTTCAACACAGCAAGCAGACTAATGACTCCGCTGGGTTGCAGGGGAACTCGGGAGAGAAGAAGCAGGGCCGTCTGGAGAATACTTGCCGAAACAGGATAGGTTCTAAAATATACAAATTTATTCATCAGAAAGCAGTGTTTTTATGTCATTGATGTGTGCTCATGTGAGCATGTGCAGGTGGCAGAGAGTGAATGTGAGCAAGGAAGGCGGAGGGGGGGGGGGGGATAAGGGGGAAGAAGAGATAGGGAGTCTGATAGTATCAGCCCTCTTTGAGCTAAAAAATATCAAGCAGCCGGTTACAAGCCCCCTAAAAAGAAATTGCGAATCCATGCAAAGCCATAGTGTTACCATCACTTTCTGCATCTTTGCATTTTCTTCAATAATTTAATGGATATTTTACATGTAATTAATAGTTTATCTTGAACTATTTGAACAGGTCTGAGGGGAGTTTTTTTCTTTGGTTTATGGAACATGTTCTCGACACATGTCAGATTGTTTTTATTCCACTGGATATATGGACACCATTGAGGCCCTTGTAAGAGGTGACAAAGTGATGGGTGGCTGTGCGCTCTCCGGGATGAAGTGCAGGAATTATTGACAGTCTCTATAGGAGGAGGAATTATTGACCACTACCTAGTGGCAAAGGGTAATCAAATGAGATTAACAAAAAAAAAAACATTTTCCGGCATAGAACGTGTAACATTTGACCCTGTAACATCAGGAGCATAAAGATAAAACTTAAATATCAGCAGCCACCTGGTGGGGGTTACGTCTCGATAAAACACTGAGAAAATAGGCTTTCATAAAACCACACATTCCTTAAACAAAAATTGCGTCAACAGCCATTAAAATGACTCAAAGCTCAAGTGTTGCCTTCTTTTCCCATGACAAATACATTATATTATAGTCAATTAAAGCAATTCATATTAACGGCTCAACACACATATCAAAACGCCCCAAACTGGTAGCCAGCGTCCCTCAAAGGAAACTGTTTTGTCACAAAAGGAAATGTGATGTAATTTGTCAGGTGACAGGAACCAGGAAGTCAATGAAGAATATGGCTCAGAACTGCTGTTTGTATTGGTAGCTTTTCAATCCAGTTGAGTCTGCATGCATCCTATACCTTTTTGATAGCATCGTTGGTACGTATTGATTTGTTTTATTGTTCATTATCATCTCAGGTGATTATTTTTGTGACAATGTTTAGTTTGGATATTTTTGTGCACATGGCCTATTGAGTCATTCGGGTTGGTTACTGCACTGCTATGGTTGTCATTAAAGCCCATATGACTTAATAAATAACGAAGTAAATAAGCATAAATATATAAAGTAGCGGTCAAAGACAATGCACTTCATTTGTATTTATTATGTCTTTTGTGTGTTTTAGTTTTACTCTTTCTCATGTCAATAAACCTGTGGACAACGGACCATTGTCTTCAGAGTCGTGATGTCAGAAAAGAGTTCGTCTAACTGCCAAGGTGTATCGGAGCGCATATACCGAGGGCGGCATAGAAACGTTTTGTATTTGTAAGCTGTGTGACTGTTGTGATCGTCTGTCTGCGTCTCCCTCTGTCAGCCATCCATTTTCTATACCTGCTCATCAGAGTATTAGGAGGCTGAAAGCTGGCCCACACATTGCGCAAATTGGGAGAGTTATTGTTACCGTGTTTGATGGATGGTGTTTTTATTGTTCCATCTATGCAATCAATACATATTTATCTTTGTTAAACCTGCGCATGTGAATTCAAATGTTTGTCTTGAACAAGTGCACCTTGAATTCCCCTCTATTGTTGACATCCTTCTGACGCTGTTGCAAACCATTGTGCCCTGAGAGGAAACACATTTCCTCTGTATATTAAGGTACTATTTTTACAGGTAGCCAGTAGACTAGAATAAGATACAGGGTGATACGTTAAAAAGGAACACAAACTATTTAGAAAAATAAATATGCAATATTTAAACAAAGGAGTACCAGGTGACACTGATGAATGATGTAAATCGTGGCATGGTAAGTTACAGAACAAACCTAGAATTCAAACATAATACAAAACACTCTGCCAGTACAAAATGGCTTTAATTCCACTTAATATGTATTGAATATACAATCATTTTTTCAAAAGTGACAACTTTTAAATACAAATCTTTTTACTTGTCCATATAAGATTTCATCCCATCTGATTCTATTCAAATAAACTCAATCTAGAGATTGATTAATTTCCATTGGATATCCAAGAGAGCTTTGACCCCCACCCCCTCCTCCCCCCGGCACCTCTCAAGGCCTCTTTTAGAAATCCAACATAATACCCAGAACATACATCCTTTTAGGGGAAGAGATGCTCATCCCTGGATACGGCATTAAAATAGTAAATGCAAATCCACGGTTACTCCTCGTGAGTGCCATCCAGCAGGGATGACAAGATGAACAATGGTGCCGATAGTTGTTCAAACCAGTGGTACGTTGCTACAGTATTGTTGGGATTAGCATGGTAATCTCAAGGCCCCAAAAGCTCAATGTAGATCAGATAGATAAGTATTTGTTACTATATCACGGAACGCACCTCCGTATTGTCCTGGACAAGTAGGTTGATATATCAAGTTGACCAAGAAATTATAAAAGAGACAATGCAGGGGAGGAAAGAAAAATAAGAGCTTGTGTTCGTCTGGACGGGCAGAAGGCCTACAGAGCTTGGCAGTTTAATATCTTAAGGTGATGCCTTGACTCCGCACCAGCCCCTCCATCTCAAGCTGCCGTGTTTTCAATCAGAGGGGACCATGAATTATTGTCAGCAGTAATCACAGCTGTCCATTGCAGGCCTGCTGAGGGGTTCCGAGCTGTCCTGGTGCATCTAGTCACTCTGGACCATGGCACCTCTGATATGGGCACTGAGAAAGATCCGCAAGCGGTCCAAGGCACAACACAAAAAGTTTAAAAAGAGGTTCTGTTTACCCAAGAACCCGAAGCAAATGAAAACGATCTGCTGTATGAGACCATTGAAGTCTCACTTAAAGGAATAGTTCACCTCGAAATGTGAATGGAAATTCAGTTATGAAACATCTATTTCTATGGATGCTAATATTTAACTTTGCCATTAGTCTTCACCTTTTTCAGCTTCATAAAAATTGCAACGATCATTGTCCTTGCACTAAGAAATACATGAACGAGGCGAATTGACTCCATGTTCTCTTCAATAGTTTAGAAGGAAGCTCACTAATGTTTATTTTTAATTCTAAATTCGGTTCTGGTGATAAGGGGGTGAGTTATTAGCTAGTGAATATTACACTTTTGGTAAACAATGTATTTTATTTTGTAATGTAACAAAATTACAGACTGTACATCTGTGATCAAACACATTTCTTCTTCTTTTTATTGCATTTGCTGACAAAAAAAGGACGTAGTTTCTTTTCATTCTACCCGTGAATGAAACGTGAGACTTTTCACTAAACGCTGGCACAGCCCTCCTCCCTTAAGTCACACAGCATTCATCTGGCTCCCTTGGCAAGCTTCCCGGGTAATTGTGGCACGCCTTGTGTTTTTCACGAAAGCACTGTTATTTTGCTGTGAAAACTCTCGGCATGGGGTGGCACACCCACCTCTGGCAAGCCACTGTTGTCACAGCCGATCAGCAGAGAGCAGCCTTCTCTTTCAATTAGCCTTGTCTGTCCGAGAACGGGGCCAGGAGCACCAGGCGCAGCAACGCGGGAACCCGCTGAAGGAACCGGCGAGGAGAGCAGGTGGGAGGAGACGGGAGAGCTGGAGTAAGTAAGCCCCAAAACTCCAAACTGGGACTGAAATAGTCCTCCACTGCTGTGTTCTAAGTCCCTCCGTACCAGAAAGGGCTCCGCCGCGGCACGTCACGGTAAACACGGGCAGGCTCCATGGAAACACGGCCATTTGGCAGAAAAGCGCGGGATGAGATATGGCACCAATGAGGCAGATAATTTCCTGAATAACTATATCTTCCCCCTCATGTGCTATCGCGGTGATGAAGAGAGAGTGCATGTGTGTGTGAGAGAGAGAGAGAGAGAGAGAGAGAGAGAGATATTTATGTGGCACTAATCAAGACATAATTTAGAAGATGTTTGGGGAGCTCATGAACAGCGTTGAAGGGGCTTGAGGAGGAGCACCGAGGCCCTGGTGTTAAAAGAGAAAAAGGGTGGCAGCCATGCCCCTAGGTTGGTTGTCACAAATGCCACATCCAGGTGGGATTTGCAGCGTTGCACCCTTGCACACTAAAAAAGGTTGGGTTAAAAATGACCCAATCGGTTGTTTTATATCTCAACCGCTGGGTCACTATTGCACCAACCTAGCAGTAGTTAATTTGACCCAGCACTATGAGTTGGCCATTTTAACCCAACAGATGAGTTATATATTCTACCCAAATGCTGGGTCAAATTAACTACAATTCTGGGTTCATTCAACTACACACTATTTGTTGTCTAAAACTGTTCAACTACAAACCTGTAACAAAATACATGCTAGATTTGTTCATGCAAAGGACATATCATAATTAACACTTGACAATTTTGGAATTCTAAAATTAATATATCATAAAATATCCACAATATAAAATGAATTGTAAGTTTTAATCACTATCAACAAAATGGGGCTGCAACTAATGATTATTTCCATTATCGATTAATCTGTCAATTATGTAAATGATTAATCAATTAGTTGTTGTGTATAAAATGTCAAATCTTGAAAAACCACAAGATGACATCCTCAAATCTCTTGTTGTGTCCGCAAAGAGACACTCACACATTATCATAACAAAACAAGTCTAACAACTAACAGGTTTAACATGTTTACTAACCAGCTGCCCTTGAGCCTCTACTTGCAAGCAAGTAATCGACTTTGGAGGAACTTTACTAACTTGGAACCCGCTCCTGGCATTTTATAAACAACAGCCTGCAGGAATTCCCACACATGTTCACATTGCTTCAGGTATTTGATATCCAACACAAAGAATGCCTTGAAGCAGACATCGATTGCCTGAAGCAGTTTGTCGTGTACCAGAGCCTGTCCAGCAATGATGACGAAGGCCTGGATGCTTGATGTTTGTCTTTTCCCAGAGTCCGGACATACGGGTGCGGTCTGGATGCCTTGGCCTTATGTAGGTACTCGACCATGTTCGTTCCAGGCTAAAAAAAGAAGATAAAATAAGATGGAGCTGTATTACTTGTGCAGTTTTAAAAAAGTATAAGGATTTAATTTAAAAAACATTTTGATGAATACAAGCAGGATAAAACGTTCTTACCTTGGCAGCTCCTGATCCAAAAATGTAGTGTTCTTGTGTCACTGTGGGGTCAGACGTTGGTGGCTGTGTGGGGTTACCTATGCGCTTTTGCAGGGGTTTTGCAGACTTCTGTGGTTCAAAACAACCCAGCTGCTGGGTCAACCGATGTATGTTGGGTCGATGAATTTTGACTCAGCGCATGAGTTGCACAAAAATAACCCAACCCCCCTATAAATAACCCATAATGGGTAGAACATGTCATAACTCAGCGTTTGGGTAGATGAAATAATATACGTTATATACGAATATCACGTTATATGCAATTTTGTTTGATATTTTGTGTGGCTATATATGCAATACCCTCCGATAAAGAGGATATTGAGAGAAAAGGGTCTTCTTAACAGGCGATATAAATGTGTTGTAAAGGCAGAGAATGAAGGACAACATCTTCTCTCGCCGTTCCAGCTGACGTGCGGGATGGGGGCCCCTTCGGTGAGGGCTGTTGTCAGCCGAGACAAACTGCAGCTCCTGGGAGTGCCCCAGATCTGACAGAAACCTCCCTCATCAGTCACGTCATCTGAGTCAGTGAAGGAGTCTGCCCCCTGCTCGCTTGCGGGCTGGAGGAATTCATCAAGCCTCCTCAACAATTAGCATATGCTCCTAATTATCATAAGAAACCAATCCAATCCAACACCAGTCCAGAGTGTGACTTCCCATCCCTCTACTATTACCACCCATCCAACTGAAAAATGATGAGCACGGATGACCCCGGTATTGTCTTATACTTCTCCTCTCCGAGGCCTGCTTGACCGTACCTCCAATGTTCCTTTTTTCCATTAGGCAGTTAAGCCAGACAGTTAATTATCCGGGAGCAGGGAGGCCGGGTGTCTTTGCTGGCTGCGAAAACGATATGCTTTGCTGGGCACAGAATGAAGAGGGCCGCCCCACAGGGACCCGTGCTGATGTCAGGCAATCTTTCAAAAAAAGGCCCAGGCAATTAGATGCACCAGTACTACAAGGGATGACTGGTGTTATTGAGGATACTGGCTAGTTCCCCTAATGGGGGTATTTAGGGCAATTATGATAAAGATGTCAGGGTAACCTCCCCATGACTGCTGCTTTTACAAGGGGGGCCTCTAAGTGCAAGATCACAGAGTCGAAATAAGGAGTGACTAAAGACGTGGCCAGTCCCGT